GTTCTTCCTATGGTTTAGTCTCCAGGCCTTTGATCATCTTAGTTGCTCTTCTCTCAACTTTTTCCAAAGTCTCAACATCTTTTTTTGGAGTAACATTAGTTGCCAGGTGTGGCAACCTGGTAAGGCCAGGTGTGGCTATATAAAGCATGCTGGGTAAACCATGGTTTGCTCCTTCTGTGAAGCTGGGAATAGATTGAATGGCCAGATGAAAGGGGGAAGCGTGGGATCCTCCTGGCTGGACAGAACTGCTGTTCTCCAACAACGCAACGTGCCCTCCACCTCCGGGAAGGAAAGAGTTAAAAGCGCCAGGTGTGAGAGAGAAGGGGGGGGCGCTTCTCCGGCTCCGAGCATGCGCATTCCACCTACCTGCCCCGCCGTCTAAGATCTGATTGCGCGCAGGTGCCGCCCGAGAGCCACGTGGAGCTGCGGCAGAAAAAGAAGGCGCGATGCGCGTGGCGCGAGGCTGGTGCTCGGAGGGCAGGTGGGTGTTGGTGAGCCTGCAGGGTGGGTTCCCCCCCCCCTCGAGTGGGGTGCTGAGCCGCTGAGACTTTGGGTAACCCCTAGCTCCCTCTTCCCCCCTTTCTGGCAATGTGGGCAAACGGTAACTAACTTTACTGGGGTTAACTTAGTTTCTTGGGTTTGCCCAATGCATACAACTCTTGAGGGGTCTTTGGTGTTCTCTGAGCTGGGTCGTTTTCATGCAGATTTCCTTACCCAACTAGGCAACATCATCAGGGCTAGAAGGGGTTTGTGTAGGGAAGGAGCAGGAGAAGGGGAAGAGGAGAACTGTGGGGTCCTTGGTGCTCTCTGAGCTGGGTAGTTCTGTGCAGATGTTTCCTTAACCAACTAGGTAACATCATCAGGGCTAATGAATGTGGCTTATTCCCTTGTTTATAAAGAGTAGCACTGGGCTTGGTTGTTTTCTTGCAGACGTTTCCTTACCCAACTAGGCAACATCATCAGGGCTAGAAGGGAATGGGGTTTGTGTAGGGAAGGAGCGGGAGAAGGAGGAGGGCTGTGGGGTCCTTGGTGCTGTCTGAGCTGGGTAGTTTTGTGCAGACGTTTCATCACCCAACTAGGTAACATCATCAGGGTGAGAAGGGAGTGGGGTTTGTGTAATGAAGAGGAGGAAGACTGGAGGGTCCTTGGTGGTCTCTGAGCTTAGCAGTTTTCTTGCAGACGTTTTGGGCATAAGTTGAGGACTGACTGTAGTGATTTGGCTACTTGGAAGGAAAGTGTGTCATACAAACCTCGGCATGGCACTAAATTATTTTGTTAAACCCGGGTTGAGGTAGCCAGAATAATAATGTGGTAAGAAGGTGGTTAAGCCAAGTCCAGCAAGAGGTGTTGTGAGTGGGCTTTGCGGGCAGCTGTGCGTTTCTTTGAACCTGGCTTATTGAATAAACCACCATTGTCCTGCTTCACAGGTGCCTTCCCCACCTAATGCCTTGTGTTCACCACAAGCTTACTTGTGGTTCAATGGGCTGTGATTTATTGTCCTCATTTCGGAAGGTCCTTGCCATGCTCTGAACTACAACCAAACCCCATGGAGTGGATTCAACCCAGAAAGCTGGGCTTAAATACAGGCAGTCCTCGACTTACGACCACAATTGAGGCCGAAACTGAGAAATTTGCTAACGTAGCCATTTTATTACCTTTCTTACCACAGTTGTTAAATGAATTGCTGCAGTTCTTCAGTTAGTAACACGGATGTTAAGTGAATCTGGTTTCTTCATTGACCTGGCTTCTCAGAAGGTTGCAAAAGGGGATTGCGTAAGCCCCCCCTCCCCGGACACTGCAACCGTCATAAATTTGAGTCAGTTGTCAAGCATGTCCAAATGTAAATTACGTGACCATGGGGATACTGCAACGGTCATAAGTGTGAAAAATGGCCCTAAGTTGCTTTTTTCAGTGCTGCTGTAACTTCGGTCACTAAGTGAACTGTTGTCAGTAACAAGGACTACCTGCGGTTGCACATTGTATTGATTGAATTTCTATTGTGCTCTGACTAACTGATAGATCATCTCTGGCTTTACAATACAATAAAAGTTTAAAAAGTGGTCGAAAGAATTGAAATTGGAATAAAGAGTTGAAAATTGAACTTAAAAACCAAGAGGATGGACAGCCAGGGGGTGAAAAGTTTATCTTATCCTTTCAACCCCCCAACCCCCCCCCCCCCCAATATCCCAGGCT